GCTGCCTGTGGCTCCAGGGGGCGTTAACAGGGTTACTCGCTTCTCCTTGGGCCTGTGCTCCTTGTCTTCCTTCATGGCTACGGCCGTGACCGAGGCGGCTCGGCCGCAACGCGTTACACTGGGAACCAACGGCTCCCGGGCAGCTCGCGTCAACGCTCCGCCCCCAACAAAAGCCCCTAGTGATAACTCGGGCGCCAAGTTCCATTGGGCCCTGCCAAGATATCGCGAGAGTTGGGCCTTTCCCAGTGCAAAGGTTTTTAACACCTGGCTTTTACTTCCCGCCCGCCAAGTTCCTGCGCCACCCTATCCCCTCACAGCCCAGACTCCCTCGGGGCCCGCTCCTTCGCGCGTCATTAGCAACTCCGCCATCTTGAAGTGACTTTGTCGGGGACTACAAATCCCGGTCTGCAAAGCAGCTGCCCACTTTTGTTGGGAGTTCGGGAGCCAGAGATATCTCAGGGTCCCTGTTTGTAAGCAAATTGAATCCTTTCATCTTCAGAGATTTTCAGGTCGAAAGATAGGTTCTGCACGCTTAGTTTTCATCAGATAAACTCAATGCCGTCCAAATTTTGCCGCACTAGGGATGCGACTTGTATTTTCTATTATTGAATTCAGAGGCTTTATAATTTATTTTCCTACAACTCAAAGAAAAAGCCTAACATTTTAAAAAAGAATTTATTTTCCTTATATTGATTAGGATTTACAGATACTTAATAAACACTACAGTATTAGCCGAGTTCAGTGGCGCGCGCCTGTAGTCCTAGCTGCTCGGTAAGGCTTAGAAGGGAGGATCTTGAGCCCAGGAGTTCGAGGCTGCAGCGAGCCATGATCGCGCCACTGCACTACAGCTTGGGCGACAGAGCAAGACCCTGTATCTAAAAAAGCAGAATAATAAATAAACACAGATACTGATATTTAAAGAAGTAATATGACCAAAATACACGAGATTTGTTTTCATCACCTTATTTTAGCGAAAGAATTCTTCTCCCCAGGTAGTGATGTCCCACAGGGAGGGGAATAAAAATAAAACCAACTTGATTTAGTTGTGATCATCCTCCTCTTCACTTAAAAAAGGGCCAATTTTACATTATAATAACCCCGAACTGGAAACAATCCAAATATTCTCAACAGGCAAAGGGATAAACAAAATATGATACATCCATAGAATGAAATACTACTAAGCAATAAAAATGAACTGTTGATATACTCAGCAACATAAGTGAATCTCACAGTGATTATGTTGAGTGAAAGAATCCAGACAGAAAGAGAGTACATATTGTACGATTCCATTTATATGAAATTTTAGAAAAGGTAAAACCACAGTGACAGAAAGCAGGTCAGTTTGCTGGACACGGTGGCTCATGCCTGTAATCCCAGCACTTTGGGAGGCCAAGGCGGGTGGATCACCTGAGGTCAGGAATTTGTTGGAGACCAGCCTGGCCAACTTGGCAAAACCCTGTCTCTACTAAAATGCAGAAATTAGCCAGGCATGGTGTCGGGTGCCTGTAGTCCCAGCTACTTGGGAGACTGAAGCAGTAGAGTCGCTTGAACCCGGGAGGCAGAGGTTGAAGTGAACCGAGGTCACGCCACTGCACTCCAACCTGGGCGACAGAGTGAGACTCCATGTCAA